CTCTGCTTTCATTGAGAAGCAGGAAAGTTGTGGCTGTATCCAGACAATCAGTGAAAGTTGGGACCTCAGGGTCTAGAAAACAGAGGCTGCCGGTTGGGCTGGGAACAAAGCATCCAGAGCACACTTAGGTGGTCGGCCCAGCACGATGAAGCTGCAGCTGGGCTTCTGAACAAAGATCTGCATCACTTCTGAGAGCTGACATTGGTGTTCCTTGGTCTGGTCAGCACCTGCGAGAGCCTCTGTTCCTCCTCTGCTTTGTGTAGTGCAGCTGGCTTGCTCTCTAAAATACATAACGGAGATTATACCCAACCTTCTACATGTGACCTTGCAGAGCTGCTGCTCTATCCAGATCACCACCACCTCCTAGTTGTTCTTCTGAGCCTCATTTCTGTCCCACCTCCCCTCTACTTTCCTGTGTGTGCATGCACATGTATGCGGTGCGCCTGCATGTATGCGTGTTGGGGGGCTATGCGTGGTCCCCTGAGGTGTTGTTCCACAGGTGCCTGCCACCTGTTTTAGAGATAGGGTCTCTCAGTGGGACTTAGACCCTGCCGATTAGGCTAGGCGGGCAGGCCAGTGAGTCCAGGTCTGCCTGTCTCTGCTTTCCCAGTGCTGGAGTTATAGGTACATACTACTATGCCTGTCTTTTTCAGTTGGGTTCTGCGGAGTCGGACTCAGGTTCTCATGCTTGTAGTGCAAGCACTTTGCCAACTAAGCCATTCCACACCCCCTTGGTTCCACTTTCTACACACCAGTTAACTACCTTGTTCTTAGATTTTGATAAGGTTTACCTCAGATCATCTATCACGCAAAAACCTCAAAACACTTCCTATATAACCCACAGAAAACCTGAATTCCTGAGGTCGGAGAGCCTGATGAGAGCTTCCTCCAGTTCCTGTAGCCCACCCAGTAGGCATTCTGGGCTCACTACCCCATCCCTCTCAGAGAACACATTCCTGCTTCAGTCTGTGTCCTTGCCTGTCTGTTTCTAGCCTTTTGCCTTGGTCTGTTCATGGCCATGACTCAATTGTAACACCAACTTCTCTGAGAATCGTACACATGGAGATTTTACCAGTTAGAACTGTCTCTCCACACAGGATACACTGCCTCGTGTGTCTGTGTGTGTGTGTGTGTGTGTGCGTGTGCACACACCCATGTGTTCATGTGCATATATGTGAAGGCTAACGCTCAATGGCTGGTGTCTTCCACAGTCTCTTTCCACTTTATTTATTGAGGCAGGTTCCCTCACTGAACCTGGAGTTTACTGATTCAGCAGACTAGCCAGCAAATCCTAGAGATTTTCATGTTTTTACCAAGCCTGGCTTCTTATGAGGGTTCTGGGATCTAAACTCAAGTCCTCAAGCTACCCACTAATCACCTTATCAACTAAGCAATCTCCCTGCCCTCACCTTGTATCTCCTCTCTGGTCCCCACAGCCACCCACATCAGACTCCTTTGGACTTCGGACTCAACACCGGCAGATCTCCACGGTGCTTCCAGGCTTTCTGAGTCTGACTGGGACTGCAGAGGCATCCAGCAATGAGACTTGTCTAGTTACCAGGTTCCAATATGAAGGTGATTGTTGAACCACCCATTTCTTGTCACCTTCTGCCCTTATATTTGCTGTATTCATTTAAAGTACATGTTAGCGTTCCTTTGTGTTGAAGAAGTGCACATACATCCCAGGCATTGGGGTGAAAGAGTCTATGGCCCCTCTGTGTCTTTTGAGTCACAGTCATTGTGGTGGTAGTTTTTTAGTTTTTCTCTTTCTTTCTTTTTTTTCTTTCTCCAGCATTTCAGTAGCACTGGCTGCTCTGGGATTCACTAAATAAACCCTACTGGCCCCAAACTCACAGGGCTACACCTGACTCTGTCTCCTGGGCTCTGGTATTAAACATATGTACCAACATTCCCAACTTTGGTGGTGGATGTCTGAGTGCTGCCCTGTACTCCCTCACAGCCACAGGTTACATTACTGGTTCTTAACCTGTGGGCCATGGCCCCTTGTGGGGGCAGATGATCCTTTCTCAAGGGTTGCCTAAGGCCATTGGAAAAAACAATTTACATTGCAATTCATAACAGTAGCAAAATTGCAGTTATGAAGTTGCAATCAAAATAATTTTATGGTTGGGGGTCATTGCAACATGAAGAACTGCATTAAAGGGTCACAGCATTAGGAAGCTTGACAACCACTGGGATGCATACTGTATATGCTTTTAGAGAAAACCCAGTCACACCTGCTCAATCCGCTGGAGTTGCTGACAGGTGTTAAACATAATGGAATTCTTGACTCATCTTGGCCTCTGATATTGCCCTCCTAAGATTATGAAGACAGGACTATTTCAAGACCCTGCCTACCTTGGTACCCTTGGTCCTCTGGGGCATGTAGAAGAGCAGATCCTCACCTCTGGATGCATAGCTCTCTTGTATAACGATCTCAGGTTTGAGAGTGATGGGCTGAAACATTCTGAAGCTCAAGCCTTCCCCAGAGCACAGGTATAATATCACCTACTAGAATCAACTCAGAAAGACTACTGCAGGCGGCAAAGGATTGCTTCTCCTTTGGCTTTGGTCAAATGCAGGCATGATGGCTATATGAGTTGTGCTCCCACAGCCTAGAGGATGGAACTCCAGTGATCCTTTTTTGGAGGAAGGTCCTGGAGAATCTTTTCCTCCCTCCTATATCTTCATCTAATTGTTCAAATAATTCATCCACCCACCCACCCATCTATCCACCCATCATTCATCCATCCATCCAATTATGGTCCTGGTATTATGTATGCTATAACCATGATAAGAAAAAAGAAAATAAATGTCTCTATTCAGATATCTTTTGAAATATTTTATTTCACTTTTTTCTAACAGTAATATAGAAACAAATAATCATAAAAATAAAATTGTAAATTGTCCATTGACTATGTAATAGCACTTGGTATTGCTACAGGGGTAGATCTTGGATGAGGCCAGGTTACAGCCAGGCCTGCCCAGGCCCTCTAGGGTTCTGTGATTGCTACTGAGCCCACAGAGGCATTGGACATGACCTTGTGGCAGCACAGTGGGTATTTTGTGTCTCGCTGGGGGCTGGGAGGACATGGAGATGGTTAATGATGAAACAGCAAACAGTGTACATATGGTAAGCCAGGAAACTGGCTGTGGAAGGCTGCTAATATTGCCACTGACCTATAGGCATCTCTGCATGGATTCTACAAGCAGAATGACCACAGTTAATGGTTTGAGCTCACCATGGAAGTCAGATACTAACTGCATGTAAGAAAACAAAAATGGCTTTTCCCTCCACTTTTGTGACCCCCTCCCCCCTCCCCACCTTCCCTCTTTATCCCACTTGAGGTGAACAACTTAAGCTGAGACATCTAGCCTATTTAAACCCATGCCTGGGACAAAGTTCCTCAGAGAACAAACGCAGGAGGAAGATGCCAGGTTAGCTGAGCACAGACCGTTCAGGCAGTTACTGACCGCATCTAATTTGATCACTCCACTTTGCTCTAAGCTAAGGGTGTCAGCTTCTGTAAGGATTGATGTCTCTTTTTTTTTTTTTAAGTCTTTTTGAGACATGGTCTCATGTAGCCCAGGATGGCCTGGAGAACTGACTCTGTATCATAGGCTAGTCTTTAACTCCTGTGCCTCCTCCCTCCATCTCCTGAGTGCTGGGATTAAAGACGTGCACTACCATGCCTGGCTAGTGATTAACTTATTACAACCAATTTGGCATTGTTTTTAGAATATGGGATGTTTCTATGATGTGGTATGTGAGGGTCAGCCAGTGGGTGACTGGAGGTAGGAGGTGATAAGAGATGATGAGGTCTCTTGGAACTTGGCAGTGTTTTGTGTAGTCTCTAAGGAAAGGACCTGGGTCAAGGTCTCTGGACTTCAGGGCTTTTAAGAAAATTTGTCTACCTTGTTCTACCTTTTAAAAAAGAAACACAAACTGCCTGGCTCTTTGAAATTACAAGGAAGAGACCATTCAGTCATACATGACCATTCAGTTATACCTTCCCATTCCAGTCTCTCCCTGGGTGTGTTGTAGCATGTATGGACAAAGCCCATTGGGATTACCAGGGAAAAGAAACATTATATACAGAGAACAGTCAGTATAGACTACAGGACTCTGACAGAGGGTAAGTGCCAAAGACCCACCATCCGGGCACCCTGCTTCTCTTCCTCCCCCAATATTTGGGATTGCAAAGTGGGGAGAATGGGTGGGGCCTGAAAGGGAGGAAGAGAGAAGTTGTCACCTTAGGGGTTTGGCAGAACATCAGGACCATCTTTTGACAGGAGATCCAGCTAGGTGTGACTCACAATAATTTCACACCTTAATATTCTACAGTCTCTAAGCAGCCAGGTGACTTGAGGGAAACCATTCTCTTTCCTGGCTTCATTTTGCCCCTCTGCTAATGAGCAGGCCTCACTAGACACACCCTATGTCTGAGAAAGTTGTGTTAACAGGAATACACGTGGCCAGATGTGCTGTACCAGGTCTTCCCTGAACCAATCAGCTTAACATTCTGCTGATCTCAAGCTTGCTGCTAAAGAAAAAACTCCTAAAACTAAATCCCAAACTCTGTGTGGCTTACTCAACCGGCTCTCCATTTGGACAAGAATCAGAGGGGGATTAACAAGTTAGCATCGCATTTCTTAACAGTCATGGTCAATTAAAATTCATTGTTGAGGTCAGGCACAGTCTTGAGAGAGGCTGGGGATGGGTTTCTGGACTCCCTGGGGTCTTTGGTGCTGGGGATAAGGTGATGTGGGTGATACCATCAAGTCCCACCAGAAATGTCTCTATCATGTCCCCTACAGTAAAATTAACTTGGGGGACATCTGTTTCCTATCTGCCTTGTTTAGTCATCAGTGGCCTGCTGGGTATTCTCCTGGGCAACAAAATAACAAGAGTTATAACTGGAGCTAGGACAGACAGCAGGCCATCTGGGTTTCTCCACCAAAGATAGACATAGACATAGACATGTCATATGTCATGGAGCAAGCATGGCCCTGTTGCATCAAGGCTCAAGTTCAAAGTAGCAGGGCAGAGCTCCTTCCCAGGGATGCTATTGGCCATCAAAGAGAAGCCTGCAATCCCATGTGCCATCTTGTTATCCCTTTAGGTTTTTCTGTCCTAGCACATCCCTGAACAGGCTGCTGAGTCACCTACTTAGGGGCAATTAGAGCTAGAACTAAAAAGATGAGTATACCTTACATATCTAATCTTCTCAGCTTCCCCAGAGGAGAGCTTTCTGTAGGAACAAGGTGGGAGGAGGGTCCCCTTTGGGATCCAACACCATAGCACCAGTGATTCTAGGACACAGGAAAGTAGGCCACTGAGGGGGTCAGGCCACAGGATCCTGCTGAGACCCCCGTCTTACATAGCATCTTCAGACTCTTTGGGTATTGAACATGAAGAGCCAGGTATGCTGAAGCTCCTGGCATACTACCACCAGGTCCTGGGGCCTTCCATTCCCAGCATGGCCCCAGGGAGACCCACTTTGGGTAACTTGGTCTGAGTCCCCCACCCCCTCACCCTTGGCTCTGGTCCCCCTTCCATTCCAAGGCCTCTCAGCACAGAGAGAACCTTCTGGAGTTGATGTTCATTTTGGTGACACCAATGAGCTTGAGTGGCGTGGAAAGGCTGAAGGAAGATGCCAGAGGGGAGTCGCAAAAGAGGTCAGACAGCTCATCTCGCTCCTCCAGCTCATAAGCAGCGTCGTTGAGCATCCTCCGGTGCAGGCGGCAGGTCTGCTCAATCTTCAGCTTGTTGATGTCTCCACGGAGGCGCATGAGCTGCCTGGCCAGCTGCTGGTCCTGGAGTCGCATTTCTGCCTGCAGAGGAAAGGCCAGACATTAGTCAGCAGGGCACATGGGGGCTGCAGCTCTGTGAGCTCCGCTGAGGGCACTCATTAATAGGAATCTAGACTGATGTCATGGATCACTGACAGGCCCATCTGGCAGCAGGTATTGTCCCTAGGTCAGAAAGGTGAAAGGACACTGCCATGGCACAGGAAGGTGTCATTGCCCAGCGAAGCTTTGTGCCTGGCTAGCAACTATTATCTAAATCCTTCTCTGGGCCAGCCCTAGCTTAAGGTCACTTCTAGCTCATCCCCTTTCTTTGGTGTTCTGTGGATTTCAGGTGGAATGAGACTGCAAAGAGTAACAGTCACCAAATTTGGCAGAATAGCTTCTGGGTGGGAAGGAGGGGTTTGATGGGCAGGACAATGAGGGCTTTCTACTGGGACAGACCGATTAGGTCACATGTGTGGGCTAGCATAACATGCCTTGTTATTTGGAAACTCATACTTTATATTGTATTTTCATCATATCCACCTACTACTACTGTCCTCCAGTGTTCCCAAGTGCCCTCCCACTCCAACTTTCAAATTCTTGTCCTCCTTTAAAGTATAATTAATAACTCTGAGTCCAGTTAATGCTGTCCATATACACATGGGTGTGGGCCATCTCCTAGGGTGTAGGGTCCTACCTGTGGTCATGTGACTTTCCCTCACTGTAGCCTGCTAGTTTTTCCTTCATTCATCTTATAATGACTTATGGTTGTATATCTGTACATACAGTAATAAAAATGAGCTGATACTATGAGCCAGGCACAGCTAACACACTAGAGTTGATCCTCATGATAGCCTGCGGAGTAAAACTCTTACCACGCCACAAGCTGGGGTAGGGGTTCAGACTGTGGGTACCACAAACCTGACAACTCAGTTCTGCTTTCAGTAGAGTGGAGCCTGAGGTTTAGGGCTGTTCAAAGCTGGGAGAGCCTGGAGAGGGTTTCTGATGGTTTTTAGCACCTCTGTTTCCTATTAGGGAAGGAATGTACTGAGAACCCCTCTCTCAGCAACACTTTTCAAAACCCATCTACACCCCAGCCCCTGTGGTACCTCACACTCTCCCCAGATGCCCACAGTGAAGGTCTATATTTTGCAAGTGAGGATACTGGAACTCCAAGGGCTTCAAGGTGCCCTTCAGCTTGAAGGTTGTGACTTGGCGAGATGGAATGCAGCTGTGATCTCACTTGGCTTCATGGGCAGTAGTGTCCTATTAACAAAGCTCTGTCGCTAAGACAGGCCACCAGCTGTTCCAACATGACCTGAGACCCAATTCCACCTTGTCATTTAGTCTGCCTACACCTGCAAATGGCTATTGTTTCAGTACATTTTCTGTTCTCAGACTCAGTTTTCCAGGTGCCTGAAACCAAATGAGCCCTGGGATTCAGGAGGGATGCCCCTGTCCTTATGCAAATGAATGCAAGTATTCTCACTTTCTCCATTGGGTTTGGAATACAGCCTAATGCCATGAAGAAAATTAGTGACTTCACTGGTGAGCATTCAGTGTTCTCTCTTACACACACACACACACACACACACACACACACACACACACACAAATACATAAATAATAAATTTTTTTCTTGATTGTGAAGGGCTAAGATCCAAAAGTTGAAAAAAGGTAAAATCTATATAACATAAGACGTATCATCTTGATCATTTTGAAGCACACAGTCCAGGAGTGTCAAAGACATGCATTGTTGTGCAACCACTACCACCACCCTATGCCAGAACCTTCCTATAGTTCTCAACTGAACAATGTGTTCATTAAAAAAAGAACAAAAAATCCTCATCCCCTTCCTCCAGCCCCTGAAACCCCAACCCCATTCCACTGCCTGTCTCTATGAACTAGATGGTTCTAGAGAGACACCCCCTTCCCCCCACCCACGCCCTCCACCCCCACCCCCACTGTAGGAGTAGGCTCCTACAGTGTTTATGCTTATGTAACTGGCTTGTTTCATTTCCCACCATGCTCTCCAGGTTCACATGGCTGAGAGGCTTTATAAATTAACTTTCCTTAGCAATGACTAAAGGACACAGGTCACTGTGGATAACATGAGTGGTGATCCCTATACTCCTACCCTGGCTCCCTGCATTTGATCTGTGCTGGCTCCTGCCTCTTCCCTGATCCCAGGCCAGAGGCATCACACCTATCTATCTTACAGACTATGAAACTAACTCAGGCCTAGCCCTCCTGGGAATGGTGGCACTCAGATCCCTCTGGGTCAAGCAGTGGCTTCCTGTAGCAAGGCACCCCCCCCAGCACACACACACACCCAAATTCCCAAATATTGTTTATAAATGTTTGTTTTCATTTAAATGGAATTGGTTATGAATGGTTAATAATCACACCCAATATCTTTTTAAAGGTAAAAATAAAATTATGGTATAGATATGAATCCTTTGTTTTGGAATGAATTTTCATTTATTGATACAATTTAAGGTCAATTTTATAATATGTATATTTCTCCTCTTGTTTAGGTATTGTGTAAAAATGTAATGTATAAGTCAATACAGATTATAGATAGTACCTATGACAGTCAGATCTTATAGTTAATTAAGATTTCTAGATATACAGAGATGTATTTGAGATAGACATTCTTCAAACCTTTCAAACCTCCTTCAAACCTACAAAATACATGAGGCATAACTGCTCCTGGCAACACCACATGCCTCAAAAAAAAAAAAAAAAAAAAAAAAAAGGATGGACATTAAAAAAACATGTTATGGAGTTTGCCTCCAATATGGCAAGATTAGCCATTTGGATAAGATACTGCTCTTGTCTGGACTGTTTGACTTTATGCTGTATAAACTAGACATGCAGGACCCACAGAAAAATGACTACTGATTCAAGATGGATATTGCTACAGAGTTCCTGCTTCATGGAAGAGTCTGCCAGACAGTCTACGGGGCACAGAAAAAAAAAGTGACTGACAAACTGCCAATACAAAAAGACAGTTTAAAGTTTCCTACTTTGCTAAAGAGTCTGACAGACACACTATGGCCTATGGGCTAAAGATGGAAGATTACAAAAAAACTTCATGTGACTGACACGACAAAAAATGTCTCTGTCATTTCTAGAGCTTATATATTATCCTTCTGTGGTCTTTGAAGGAGTTGAAGACAGAAAGTTATAGTTATAGTTTTCCTTAGTTAAACTTAAAGATAAGTTACATATAGGACTTTGGACTCACAAATATAGGATAGATGATAAAATAGTTTCTTTTAATCTTGCTAAATGTTAATGGACTAAATATTGTTAACTGTGATTCTTACTTGATAACTGTTATGTTATATATTTTGCTATGTTAAGGTTAAAACCCTTTTTATTAAACAAAAAAAAAAGAGATGATGGGAGATGTCATTCTGTATATATGTTTCTCATACTGGTTAATGAATAAAGCACTGTTGGCCAATAGGAAAGGAAGAGAGGAGGGACTAGGAGACAAGGAGTAAGGAAGAAGTAGTAAGGAGGAGTCAGCATGGAGAGACTGGGGAGACCAGATGCCTGCCCCACTCCCCGGTAAGATGAAAGCACGTGGAAATAGGTAGATTAACAGAAATGGGTTTATACTTAAGACAGAGCTAGCCGATAAGAAACTAGTACCTGGCCAACAGCATTATATCAAATACAGAGTCTCTGTATGTTAATTGGGGCTGGCGCCACGGCAGGACCAGTGGTGGGCAGAAAAACCTTACTCCTTACACACACACACACACACACACACACATACACACACACCCACACACACACCTGCTAGCTGAATCAGCCACTAACGACTCCTGAACTTCGATGTCTACTTCTCCACGAAGGGGAATGATGAGGTCTCCAGAGCAGACAAGACACTGCACAGTAACCCTAGGGCAGAAGCTGCCAGAGGTCAAGTGTTTCACTTCCGGCCCGGAGCACCTAGGCTGGTGCACTGGTCCTAAGGCTCCAGCCTAGGGAACTCAACTGAGCATAGGTCAAATACTGTCCTCTAAAGCTCAGTGTAGAGTGCACTTATTTTCCACCCCCCACCCACCCTCAGGGTGGCCTCTCTCTCCTCTGGGAGGCAGGAACAGGCTGGATTCAGAGCTGTGGTTTGTTGTTCCAGTAATCCCACAGTCAGGGCACAGCACCTGAATGTAAGCAGCAGAGGTGCCATTGGTCAGGGGTTGAGGGGATTATAGGGTCTCCTGAGACCTGAGGTGGTGGAGGAAGCCTTTCTGCTCAGACTCCTCTGCTGCCTGTGGACACTGGTGGTTTTGGGGCAAATGAGAAGCTTCTTAGGAGAATCAGCCTGTTTCTTCTGGTAGAAAGCAAAGCCCCCAGGGCAGGATTAGCTAAATAAACAATAATTACAGGGCTCTGCCAGAGAAGAGATTTCCTGGCTTCCCAGCTCACTCTGGGGTAGGAGAAGTGATGGAGATGTTGAGGGAAAAAAGCCTGGGAGGAGAGTCCGTAGAGAGAATCCAGATAGAAAGCTCTCAGGAGAATGTGTCCCTGCTTACTGGGAAGAGACCACCAACCATACCAAGTGCTTTCCCAAGGAGAAAAGAGAAGCTCAGGCCTGCCCTTGGCTGGGGGAAATGAAAATGATGGCTGTAGACATCCCCTGGATGTTCTAAATAAATCCAGTGGTTACCACATACATGACCAGAGGTTTCATCCAAAACAAATGGAGGAAAGAACTCCAACAGAGACATGTGTCTACATTCATACTGGCACATCCCAACTGCAAAATAGATGAACACAGTCAATCCACACTCTGGGAGATTCAGACACATATCACAATGTGGATTTGGGGGTATTGTGCTAAGTGACATTAGCCAGCTACAAAGAGACAGACATGTGACCCATGTATGTGAAGCAGCAGAAACAATTATATTCTGAGACAGACAACAGAAAAGGGTTTGTCAGGGTGTGGGGATTAGGATCAGTGTTAACCGCCAGAACAGACAGAATACCAAGGTAGAGGACATGTGACTAGTCCTTAATACTGG